TTTATATTATTGTTAGTCTACGTACTGAAAGTATAAAATGAAATGTATAGACAACAAAACTGGAAAAAAATTTGATTTCTTTATTTAGAGTTTCCATTGATTAAAGTTTTTTTTTCATTAAAAATGTTGGTGATGTAACAGAAAATATCTTAATTCAAAAACAATTTAAGTTTAAAATTTTGATTTGCTCACACAGGTATTTACCAACATTTGACTGCCTTGACTGCACTTTTCTTTCTCTTTGTTAGTCAAGCTTAATTTCACAAAATTTATTTATTTCAGTTAGCTATGAAATGTAAGGTTAGGGTATACTGTGGGGTGGGGGTGGTAGTACTTGCCACGTCATTTTTGATGCTAGTTTTCGTATGATTGATGATCTGTCTATAAAGTGTAAATGAAAGATAATTCATGATACGGTAGCAATTTCAAAATCCACGTGAGGAAATTCTGTTTTGAAATAGTTGAAGAAAAATCACTTGATTTATAGTTAAAGGTTCTTTTATGATTATAAGTTTCTTTTCAGTATTGTTCATTAGTGAAAAATGTATTTGATGCTTTATGAAAGTAATAAGTTTAAATAGTATTTAACATATATAAAGGCAAGTGTGTGTCATGTCTTGCTTGATTTCTCGAAATAAGAGTCATCATAAAAGCCAAAATGCATTTATCCAGATAGAATAGTTCAATTACTTTCTGCCCATTATGCTTTTAGTGATGGGGTGCAAGGGGACTATGAGGTGTGTGTGTGTGTGTGTAAGGAGATCTAGACCTAAAGCTGATGGTTTTATATGTTAAGTTTTGTTTGTTTATGTTACTAATGGTATAGACAGTAAATCTAGTAGGCCCAGTGCCTACTCCCTTAATCAAGATTGTTTGTTTGTTATAGATTTTGCACAAAGCTACATGAGGGCTATCTGCACTAGATGTCCCTAATTTAGCAGTGTAAGATTAGAGGGAAGGCAGCTACTCATCACCACCACCCACCAAATCTTGGGCTACTCTTTTAACAATGAATAGTGGGATTGACTGTCACATTATAATGCCCCCATGGCTGAAAGGGCGAGCATGTTTGGTGTAACGGGGATTCAAACCTGTGACTCACAGATTGCGAGCCGAGTGCCCTAACCACCTGGCCATACCAGGCCAATTGTTAATCAAGATCTAGACCTAATGTTACAGTTCTGTAAAGTTCTTACTAAGTCTATAATAAAATAAATCTACTAAGCCTAGCTGGAGCATATGAGATCTGACTCCTTAGGTAGATCTAGGCATATTCAGGGGTGGATGATAAACAAACTACTGATAATGAATATGTAGGCCTACAAATGATAGTCATATTTGAATGCTCATATCTTGTTTTAAAAGTATATCAGTGCAATCTGTGATTTTTAATGTTCCTTTAGTTTTAATTTGTTGTTTTCAATATATATGTAATAAATTATCTCTTGGTAATGCAATTTTTAAGTTAGTAGTACCATACTAGTCCTAAGGTTACACATATTTATAAACCATCACATAAAAAGGATTAAATCCACTATGCATGTTCACATTTCAGTGTGACCCACAAGCTATTGCTGCTACATACAGCCTGCTAAACAAATAAAATGTAATTTAAGATGAAAAAAAATCACTATAATTTTTACTTACAATTATGGTAAATCTAGGCCTAGATTTGCTCCAGCAAAAACCACAAAGGAACTTTTTGGTTTGTTGTTGACATGAACACCTTCATGACAACTGAAAAGTTAGGATTCAGTTCTTTGCTAAAAAGTTTCCATCACTGCAAGTACCTTCAGAAGTGTCCTCAGAAACAATACACTTGACAAAGTATATCATAAAGTAAAATCACCTGTCATTCAAGAACTGGAACAGCCAAAATATTGTTGTTTAATGTTTGCAGTGACAAATGTATTGGTACATCACATTATTTAGGTCTATGTGTTTGTTACATTAGCAGTGATTGGTGCACTAGTGTTGTTACTCTGAAAGCATGACCAATCGTTTCAGGTTAGAATTAGCAGAATTTTTCCCCAACATTGAGGACAAGCAATTTTTTGCCATTCCTGATGGGGGCAGCAGTACTAAAGAAGACATGCAGAATTATAAAGTTCCAGTGGAACATCTACAGTGCATATACATTGCTTATATGGTATCTCAAAAAGTATCCAACCTAAAGGAACTTTTGAAAAAGGTGCAAGGAGATTTTTCATGTTCTTCATTATACAGGGCAATTGTTGCAGGAAAAAGTTCAAAACTGACATTATCATGTAGTGCTTGTTCAACTTTCAAAACAAGCAATACATAGAGAAGAGGAAAGCTTAATAGCTAAATACATGGATGAAACTCTGAATCTTGATGTTCAGGGTTCATACACCTTTAGTGATTCAGATTTCCATGACTTTTCCAAAACTTTCCATAGCCCTCAAAACTGATTTTCCAGACCAAATATAACATGAAATAAATCATATAATCCACATTAACAGTTTATTCTGTATATATTATGCAAAAGTATATACATGTGTGAGTACATGTGAAACACAATGATACGACATAGAATAACAATTCTTGACTTTTCTACTATCTTTGCAATTTCTTCATAAAAAATTTTTAATTATAAAGACTTCTGCCATTTTCCTGAAACTATTTGATTTGCCAAATCAGTGATATTGCCTTATTTTTTAGCCTCATCAACAAGATCAGCAGCAGCCTCAATTAAGCATGCTATATCTTTTTCAAATCTTTTGCATTTAGCCTTACGTTTTGCAATATCTTCAAGGATAAGTTTCCTTTTCCATTCAGGTTATCCATCTCCCACTGTTAGTTGAGGTATTAGATATATATTTCTGTCTACTGTTTTGAGCAGCAATGAGTAGTTCCTTTGACAAAGGAACTTCCAGAATACCTCCAACTGACTGTACATGATCATAGATTAACCACTGACCAACAAGGGAGACATCCTTCATGTT